GGTAAGATAAATGCCAAGACACACAGAGCTGACAGAGAGAAGGAAAACCTTTCCCCAGAGGTGATGCTCTGACTTTGTACTTCTGCCCCCCCAAACTGTGAGAAAATAAATATCTGTTTGTGAAAGCCACCCGCTCTATTTCTGCTACACCAGCACTAGACAACTAACACACACAGTAATACCATTCTGAAAAAAGGTAGCCAAGGAAAACAATTCAAAAGACATTACAATCTAGATTCGCCAAGATGCCTACTAACAATAATAGCAGCCCATTTGTAGTGTTTACTATGTACCAAGCACTGTTGTAAGCATTTCACAATTATTAACTCATTTCATTCTCACAACTCAACTGAATAATACAGTCTTAGGATGCTGAAGCACAGACGACTAATAATTAGCCCCAAAGTATCCACCTAGTAAATCATCAAGCTGGGATTTTAAGCCAGGCAGGATGGTTCTCTGGTTTGTTCTTCTCGTTAGGTGCCGTCGAGTCGTCTCCGACTCACAGCGACCCTGTGCACAGCAGAATGAAACACTGCCTGGTCCTGGGCCAGCTCCACGACCCTTCCTATCCCTCAGCCCATCGCTGCAGCCACTGGGTCAGTCCACCTTGTGGGGCCTTCCTCTTTTTGTTGACCCTCCACTTTACCAAGGAATGGTCCCTTCTGACAACATGACCAAAGTAGGTGCGACGAAGTCTGGCCGTTCTTGCTTCCAAGGAGCATTCTGGCTGCACTTCCTCCAGGACAGATCTGTTAGTTCTTTTAGCAGTCCATGGTACCTTCAGCATTCTCCGCCAGCACTACAACTCAAAAGCATCAACTCTTCTTCGGTCTTCCTTATTCATTGTCCAGCTCTCACATGCATATGAGATGACTGAAAATACCATGGCTTGTGTCAGGCGCATCTTAGTCTTCAAGGAGATATCTTTGCTCCTCAGCACTTGAAAGAGGTCTTTTGTAACAGATTTGCCCAGTGCTCTGCTTCCATAGTGATACTGCCTCAGAAACCCAAGGAGGGATCACTGTGAGTCTGATCCTACTTGACAGCAGTGACTGGTTTTTGTTTTTTTTATATGACATCTGATATCTTGACTGCTGCTTCCCCTGATGTTGATTGTAGAACCAAGTAATATGAAGTCTTTGACAACTTCAATCTTTTCTTCATTTATCATGTGCTGCTTATGGGTCCAGTTGTGAGGATTTTTCTTTTCTTTATATTGAGATGTAATCCATACTGCAGTGTTCAATCTTCATCAGTAAGTGCTTCAAGTCATCCTCACTTTCAGCAAGCAAAGTTGTGTTGTCAGTGTATCACAGGTTATTAATGAGCCTTCCTCCAATCCTGATGCCACGTTCTTCTTCATATAGTCCAGCTTCTTGGCTAATCTGCTCATCATAAAGATCGAATAAGTATTGAATAAAGATTGAAAGGATACAACCTTGATGCACTCCCTTCTTGATTTTAAACCATGCAGTGTTTCCTCATTCTATTCGAGAGACAGCCTCCTGATCTACGTACAGGTTCCTCATGACTACAATTAAGTGTTCTGGGATTCCCATTCTTCTCAATCCTACCCATCATTTGTTATGATTCACACAATTGAATGCTTTTGCATAGTCAATAAAACACCAAGTGAACACCTTTCTGGTATTCTCTGCTTTCAGCCAAGATCTATCTGACATCAGCTATGATATCCCTCATTCCACGTCCTCTTCTGAATCCAGCTTGCATTTCTGGAAGTTCTTTGTCAATATACTGCTGCAACCATTTTTGATTATTTGCAGTAAGATTTTACTTGCATGCATTATTAATGACA